ACTAGGCTAAAATTGTGTTAACATCAAATTTGACCAGGCAGTGAAGAATATAGACACACCTGGAATTTACAGTAAGCAATTCGACGATCAAATTCTTGGAGGAGAATATCTTCTTCTCTTTGTGACATGTCCCACACATTTCCATCTTGTGCCTTTGATGTTGTTTCCCAACCATCAGGCTTGTTTTTGAACTCAGAGGAGCTTGGAATTTCAGAATTCTCCAAGTCGGTCTTGGTGGAGTCGAATATCCTGCACATTTAGATAAATATTTAGGAATTTAAAGTGGTATTAACGAACAAAAGCCAAATAACAAAGAGACAGGACCCCCTTAAGCTACCAAAATTTTGACAATTTCAAATGAAGAGAACCTTAACAATTCTTTGATATGCACAGAAGAACTTTAGAAGATCCAAATGCATAATAGAACCAATATCCTACTTAGATACAATGCAGCATCTAATCATCTAACAATAAAGCATATCCTCTAACAACTTGCAAAATCTTTTGGTAACTACATGAAATAGATCACCTCAATGTTTCAAAAAAAATCAGTGATACATCTCTATCAAATTTAAAAATCAGATTGAGATCAACACCCTTCATTCCATTCAGCACTCATCCTAGTGACTTGATTTAAAAAATTGCATGTACTCTCAAATTGATTTTGAACTAGTTGCTCCACTAGACAGTTTAAGGTAGACCAAATGCATCACGCAGGTTCATAGCCCATCTGAGGTGAGTTTTTCCCCGATGGGTTTTACGTAGCTTTTGTTAGAAAAATAACCCTCCAGCATCAATGTCACTAATTCTATCAACAAGCACACTCGTAAGTTGTAACATGAATTAAGAAAAAAATGAAACCATGTTTTGACACAAAAACTGTTTTCCTTGCTATTATAACTTTTTTTCAAGACAAGAAAGATTCCAGGCAATTCAGACAACAGATCAGAAGCAACATAAACAGAAGTTACACTTACAGAACATGTCTTATTTGAATGTCTTGCATCATATTATCTTTAATAATATTTTATACATTAGTAAATGGTTGATGTGTCATGATGTTCAAAATTCAAATGTGAACATTTGAGAATCAATAGAGATGGAAAGAAAAAGCACAAAAAAAAGACTTGCCAGGTTCCAATTCCCTCAAAACCAGGGTTTAATATACACAAGAATTTCACATAAGTTCATGGAACACAAATCTACCACAAAGGTAATACATTCAAACTGAATTCCTGCTAAATATCTACCACAACAAGCATTTTCTAATAGAAGGATTATCAGCATTTAATTTCCAAAACAGAATCAACGAACTCTCTGTTATTTCTTTTTAAATAATCATCAAAACAAGAAATTTTAATAATCAGGTCCCTAAATCCTTTTCTCTTAAATAACTTTTTCTTCTCCTTTTTGTTTTGGATAAGAAAGGATCCATATTCAGTTACATTATTTTATACTTCACAATAGAATCTCGAACTGTCAAGTGAAATTGCAAAACCCAACTCTTAGTGTACAACACAATCTGACAAGCCAAACGGCCATAACACTATTTTATTTCATACCAATAAAAAAAAGGACCTAATACATTTAATATTTATCCTGTAAAAAGATACTAATTTTTCCTACAAAATGTTAAAGAAGAAAGAAACAAATGAATTTTAAAGCTCTTCCTCCATTCACAATCATAAAAAGCAAGGCATATCAATGAATTTGTAGGTTACATATGTGCAGTCACGAAATGAGCAGTTCACCACTGATAGAAAAAATATATGTATCCTCAGACCATCCTTCTTATATTCTCTAAAACCAAGGTCTCTAGGACCTATATATAAGTCCTGTGTCACTATCTTATTCATATTATTGATCAGGAACAAAAGAACCTGGCCAAGATTTCCAAGTTGAGATCATTTTGTAAAGACAGCAAGAAGGATGCTATTTTCCATATGTCAAAAATGTATATGTCACGCATTTCATCAAAAACACTTGAAGGCAGAAACACTGCTTGGACATGCCATTTCATTTAGACAACAGTTACCTAACTAAACCAACATAATTGAATTCAGGAGAAGCACAATGATACCCAACAGAAACCCACACGCCAAAAGATTTTAAATGGAAAACAATAGGTGAAAGTAAGTACTTACTCAGAGCAGCTATCAAGCAATCTCTCAATATCATCCGAGGCCCCCAAACCAGAATCCCCCAATTTAGCCTCCTCCATCTTTTCAATCTCCTTCACCCACAACCCAGCATGGATTCTCTGCTTCTTCAACCTATAATCCTTCTTTATATTTTCCAAACTGTACAACGAACTACCATTATCCCCTTTTCTCTCCTCTTGCTCTTGCTGTTTCTTTCTCGGCGATTTCCGCCTCTCATTCCAGTTCTCGTTCATATCCTCCACAAACGCCTTGGTCTCGGCATCAAGATCCGATTGGAGCACCAAATTCGTTGACTTTGTTGGAGAGGAGAAGTTGACATCCGTTTCCCACGGAGCTCTGTTATTGGGGGAGACATCGTCGGGGAGCCAAGCGGTTTCCCAGGCGTCATTCCACTCATCGTCGCCGTTTTTTGTGCTTTTTGTAGAAAACAACTTGAAGATTGCAGTTGAATTGAAGTGGGATTTTGGAGTTCTCAATTCAATTGTGCTTATTGTTGGATTTGTGATGGATTTCGCTATGCGTTGAAGGTTGAGCATATCTCTGTGTCTCTGAGTCTAAGGGTTTATCAAGAAACACAAAGAAAAATGGAACTTGAACCCAGACAGAATGCTTAAACCCTATTGAAGGGGAGGATGAGCTAGTGGGCCGCCAATCAATGTGATTTTTGATTGGATTGGGCCCG